ATCACCCCCCAGAGGGGATGGCCACGCCGCAATCCCTTCTCCTCCATTCTCCTCTCGGGATCTTGGGCACACATGCACAAGCGCCTGGCGTGGGTTTTAAGCCACCAGGTCCAGGATGCGAACCGCGGTCAACTACATGGGAGTCCAGCAACATAGCCATTACACTAACTACTGGTTCCCCCAGCGTGTTTTTTCAAGCCATCAAGTTCAGGACTTGAACCACACAATCAGTCATGTGGGGTCCAGCGCCTTAACCACCATGCCACCAGCTGATCTAGGATTTTCTTTTCTTTCCTTTTTTTTTTTTTTGACATGAAGGAAAGCTGTTTTCTATTATGATTGTGATTATTTGTTTTGCTCCTGCCATTTCAGCCTTTTTGAGGAATGTTTGTAAGGTTGTCTTTCTACCATTTGTGCTCTGTCACTATTATCTTGTCTTACCATTTCATTTTCAGCCTTTCTTCTACGTCTTTGGCAAGCTGGTTTGCAGATCACATCTTCTCCACTGTTCATCCCGCTCAGTAGTGCAGCTACAGCAGTTTGACCTTTCAGCTGGCTCCGTATTGGAAAAGGATGGCGGATGTGGAGTGAACCAACTAGAATGTGCCTTTGGAATCTGGCAGAGCCTCACCTCGTCTATGCCTGTCAGGTGGACTGACTTAAATGACTCTCAGCCCAGCTCCCTGTCGGTTCTCATCCAATGTACCTCTGTGATGTGTGTGTGTGTGTGTGTGTGTGGATGGAGAGGGGTCTTGACTGCTTGGTGCTTCCAGGGCTCTTCTGCCTCCACAACATTCCCTAAGACAACACCCATCCCTGTGCACCACATATCTCCTCCTTTCTATCCCTCTGCGCCGTACTGGGAGACATGACCTTAAACTTGGTATACAAATAGCTGAACTGGAGGTAGCAGGTGGCATGGTGGTTAAGGAACTGGACTCCTACTGCGTGATCGACCATGGTTCTAGTCCTGGACTTAGCAGCTTGTAAATCCTGCCAGGCTCATGTGTGTGCAAGCCCAGAATCCCAAGATGAGAATGGAAAAGGGATTGTGGTATGCCCATCCTCCCTAGGGGGATGATATGTCACTTTCCCTCCCTCTGTCTGTTTTGGCAAGTACGCACACCCTATGGCAAAAACCTTAAATTTTTTTTAAAAAAGAGAGAGAGATGAACTGAAGGGAGCATTGCAGGGACTCAGTTCTGTTCTCTGGAACCTAATTCCCACACAGAAAAGGAGCAGCAGCTCTGAGCCCCTGAACTAAGATAGACTGGAATGAGCAAACTTCCTGAGGTTTTGTTGGCCATCCATGCTGGGTCAGAAATGAAACAGCAGTGCTGGGTTGGAGGCAAAGGTCCCTCAAACCAAACCACAGGCACCGTACTTGGTGGAAAGCCCCCCTTGACTTCTAATCAACACCCATGCAAAGTTTTATGTTTTTGCAAAGTTTCTTGGGTCTTTTACTAGGAAACAGGGCATTTCAGACTATTTTCTCCTCAGATACTGTATTCATTGTACATATAAAGACAAGGAGTTTTCAATCCTGATAAGGGCTGAAAATTGCTGCAGTCATCAATGCCCATGACAGCTGAATGATGCTCATGGATGGAAGTCAAATCGAGGCTTCCAGAGCCAAGCTACGCTATCATGCAAAGTGGCCTGCAGAAACTCCAGTCATTTCCAGAAATGTGTAATTAATCAGTTATCCCCTACTAAATTCAGCAGGTAGTTCACCAGTGAGGACGCATGTTAAACACACATCAAAAAGAAATATAACATAGTGTATCTTTACCTTGTGATAAATTCTGGTCACCAAACTCCGCTGAAGAACCCTTTCACGAAAATTCACTGCTTTCAACAGAAAGGCAAGACTACCGACAGTGTCCGTGTGAAATGCCAGGAAACTGAGGGGAAAACACAGAGACTATCGTTATTATTTTTGAAAGAAATACAAGAGGGTTGTTTTTCAAAAAGAATTTTCTTACCATAGAAATGTAATTTAAATAAACATAATCTCCCTATCCCATCTCTCACTGGCTGTGTTCATGCTTCTTTTCGGTATTTTTCTGAAGACTGCTTGGCTCTAGTTTATTCTATATGGTTGTCCTTGTGGTATAGAGATAACTCGATGCCCTGCTTTTTCCACTTACTGTTGTATTATAAGTAATGTTGAATAATCCACATAATCTTTCTTCACTAACAACTATATGATTTCCATCAAGTGAATTTATTCTGATTTACTCAGCCACTATTGGTTTTTTTTTAATAATTATTACTTAATTTAATAATAGTAGTCCGATATATCTGATACAAAGTATTTGTCATGAAGTAAATACATTGTGTGTGGAACTATGCCAAGTATTGGCTGTGAGTTATCCAATAGTCTCAAGACTTTTAGGATGCAGATACTCTAATTACATAAAGCACACTTCAAGAAGTTGAGGCCCAGGACATGACTCTAAGTTTAAATAAAATTCAGATTAAATTCAAATGTGCATCATGAGTCATCAGAAAAATTCTAACCAAAAACCACCATGCCATAGCACTATACATTCACCAGAACTACTAACATTAAACACACCGATATCGAAAATGCTGAGGAGGCTATGGAGCAACCGGAATGCTTGCACTTGTTGATGAGATTGTAAAATGGTATAGTCACTTTGGAAGAAGCTTCCCCAGTTTTTCAGAAAACTAAACAACTGTATACTTTGTGAGTTAGCTCATACTTTTACTGTTTGCCTCAGAGAAATAAAAATATACGTTCACAAAAGACTCCTGTGAAAATGTTCATGGAGTTCCTACTCATTGGAGTAAAAAACTGGAAACTTCCCAGGTGTCTATTCATCAGTAAGAGAATGGAAAACAAGTCCTATTATAGTTGTAAAACAGACTGTTACTCAGCA